AGATGGCTAGCCCCATAGAGGCCTGCTGTTTTCAGCCCCAGAACCATCATTTTCTTAGACTTTCTCCTCCTTTTTTTTTTGATAATGTTTTATATAAATTTGTTATGTTTTATGTATTTATATATATTTATTGTTTTAATGCTGTGTGTGAGCCGCCCAGAGTCCCCCACAGGGGGGAGATGGGCAGAGAAATTTAATAAATAAATAAATAAATTTAATAATTGGAATGGTCTCAATCTGCATCTTCAGGGAAGAAATAGAAGCATTGATCAAGAAAATAGAGACAAGGATCAAATAACTTGAATAGACTAATTATAACTTGATTAGAAATCTGTCAGGTGTTCTTGGTACACATAGACCAGAGAGGACCTTCAGAGTTTGAAAAGAAATGTATGCGAGCAGCTCCCTGGCCCTGATATAACAGTCGACTGGATAAGAAACCCCTTTGTGATATTTTTCTAAGCATGAAGATGAGAGAACTAGGCAGGTTTGTGCTATTTTCCTATAAGTAGCTAAAAAGAGATTCCCCCCCCCTTGGTAATTGACTGTTCTTTAGCTTAAAACTGCTTTGCAAGGTATGGGGTGTGTACCCAAGACTTTTAAGTCCCATAGAGCTTAAAGTCTCAAGTGTCTTTGGTCTTTCATATGCGTGTGTGTGTGTGTTTTGTATGGCTGCCCAACTTGTAATTACAACTCTGGGCTGCTAATGTAGGATTAAAATCAGTCTGAGAGCCAGTGTGGTGCAGCACTTAAAGTACTGGACTAGAAATAGGGAGACCCACGTTTTAGTCCTCTCTGAGGCACAGAAGCCAGCTGGGTGACTTTGGGCCAGTCACTGTCATTCAGTCATAGACTGGGAAGATGAAAAACTAACCCACATTGAGCAAGTGTGTTATATTATGATCCATAATCTTCAATGAAGAGGTCTTCAGAATTGGGCTGATTTTTAAATCTATCTATATCACTGTCTGTCTGTCTGTCTGTCTGTCTACCATTGGAAACATTCTCCACATGCTTTTTAGGAGGAGGGAGGTTGTGGAATATTTTCATTATTTATTTTGTTTCATTCTTCTCTTTTTCTGATTGCCCATATTTAGTTTCTCATGTTTAAATTTTATAACATGGGGAGAAAAAGCAGCAACAAAGCAAAATGGTGGTTTTCATCCCTCCCACTAGACTTTGGACTTAGGGACACTAGTGCACCATCTTTTATTATGATGATGATGATCATGATGGTTGGTCGCACAGTCAGCCAGATGTTTAGAGTGGATTTGGCATTTTTATCCACCTATGGAGTCCTTCCCAAGGACCTGGGATAGGCAGATGTTGTTTGATGGTTTGATGGTGTTAGAGGTATCGTCGCAGGATATAAGCTGTACCAAATAAAGCTGCCTTTTGCAGTTGAATGATGGTGTTTTTGTCAGTGCTGACAGTCTTCAAGTGGTGCTCCAGATGTTTTGAGATTGCACCTAAGGCACGTACTATTGGTACTATCTGTGCTTTCTTTTGCCATAGTCATTTGGCTTCTATTTGCAGGTCTTTATATTTTGTGATTTTCTCCAGTTCTTTCTCTTCTCTTCTGCTGTCTCCAGGTATTGCAGTGTCCACTATCCAGACTTTTTTCCATTTCCTATTAACAATTGTTAA